CGGCCAAAGGGTGGACTAAGGTTTCTTCCTAGGTCAAGCCTCAAAGTCAGAGCATTCAAGAGTGTAATTTGTTGTCTTAACTCTAGGGTTTTAGTTTTATATTTTCTTGTTTGCGGGCCTCATGGGTGTAGTAACCCAATTTCGTCTGGGAAATGTCAATTTTGTTTAAAAAAAATAGCAAAAAAGGTATATACAAGAAAGAATAAAAAAGACAAAAATATGGAAGCCAATTGTAACGCCTCATTTTTTATATTTTTATGGGGGGGGGGGTAATTTAGTAATTTTTGTATGATTTCAGAAGTCTAGAACGGGTCGTTCCAAAACTGGAACGGGCCGTTCCAACCTTTCAAAAAGACATAAAATTTCAAGCCTAGAACGGGCCGTTCCAACATTCCAAAAAACCTTAAAATTTCTAGTCCAGAACGGGCCGTTCCAAAACTGGAATGGGCCGTTCCAACCTTACAAAAAGCCCTGAAATTTCTAGTCCAGAACGGGCTGTTCCCAGAAACTGGAATGGCCCGTTCCCAAACTGGAACGGGCCGTTCAAACCTTAAAAAAGGACCTGTAATTTTTAGCCCAGAATGGGTCGTTCTCGAACTACCAAAATACGTAAAAATTTTAGTCCAGAACGGGCCGTTCCGAAATTGGAACAGCCCGTTCCGAAAATGGTCGTTGTGAGTAAAATTGCAACCCCAGAATGGGTCGTTCCGGTCCTTCCTGAAAGTCTATAAATAGCGGCCCTTCCCCTTCCCAAAGGCACCCACACACACATCTCTACCTTGGACCTGGGGGATCCCAGAGGAAGAGACCAGCAAGTTACCGCTACTGTAGCGAAGAATTGTGAGTATATTAAACTCACTTCTTTTTATTTTTTTATTTTTTTCATTAGTCCTTATTTAAATTCAAAATGTGATCAAATATAGTGTTACAATATTTAAAGTAAATATTTGAATTTATTGTATTAAAAATTTTATTTGGAGGAATGGTTAATTAGATGTGACATCTTTTTAACCTTTGAATTTAAAGTACAAGTTGTGATAGCTTATCTTAAAATTTTTTCTCCAAAAACAAAAATGTTCAATCAATAAATTTTTTAACATCATAACATCTCTAGTAATAATTATAATTAAAATTTTATTGAATTGACTTTGGTGTACACCTTAGTCAATTTTATATTTTTAGGGTGAATGAGCTGAGACAGTTCAAGAATCCTATATTTAACAAAAAATAAAATTTAATTAAAAAATATCAACACACAAACATTTTTTACAAAGAACTACGTGACTCTGATTCTTCATTACACATGAAGATACGTAGGAGCAAGAAATAAATCTTGTCGAGCCAAAAAATAAAAAATATTATTTTCCTTTTTATATAACAATAATAATTTTAACCCTTTTTTATATATATATACAATGATAGTTTAGTTAAATAAAATATATTTGATCATTTTAGTGAGATAAATATTTTATAAATTATTAATAATTAGTTTAATTAATTAAAGGTAATCGTCTTACGACGAACGTTGTGAGGTGCTAATACCTTCCTCACACGTAATCGACTCCCGAACTCAAAAATTTGGTTTTCGTAGACTATTTTCTATTTTATGGTTTTTCCTTAAAAACAACATTGGTGGCGACTCCTCTTTTTCAATTTATTTTTCGCCGTCCCGTCGCGACCGAGGTTGCTACAATGGGCCCCGAGAATGAAGGGATTTCCTTAACCGTTTTCATAGAGAACATTTGATTATTAGAAATAAGATTTCTATCCTTAATTCTCGGATAAACGTAAAAAGTGAGGCTTGTTCGAATACTGGCCGATACCATCCAGGCCGAGTCCATACTGGCCGATACCAACCTGGCCGAGTCCTTTCTGGCCGATACCAACCAGGCCGAGTCCATCCTGGCCGATACCAATCAGGCCGAGTTCACTAGCGTGACCGATATGGGATCGGGCTTTTATCGAGATCACCATCGTTGGGGGGGTATCAGGTTAAATTCTGATTGCTCCTACGCATGGGCCAGAACCAGGTCGGCCGTATTCCGACTCCTCCCTTGACCGTATCGGAAACATACCGAGACGGTACACTTGCCTTCCAGCCCTGAGCATTATAGGCGAAAGGGCTTGGCTAGTCGGTTGTTTTTCGATGCCTCCGTTGAACGTATCGGAACCATACCGAGACGGTACACTTGCCTTCCAGCCCTGAGCATTATAGGCGAAAGGGCTTGGCTAGTCGGCTGTTTTCCGACTCCTCCCTTGATCATATCGTGAATGGCGAGTTGGTGGATCCTCCCGAGGATGATTGAGCTTTACTTTAGAATGTTGTGTTTTTCTTTATGTCTTCGTGTTTTTGCTAATTGTTGTCAAGAACTATTGTGATCTTCTTTTTCGAGTCCTATATGAACTTTGCGCGTTGCTCTTGATATTAGTTGAACGACTTTATGTGTGTGTGGAGTAATTGCCGAGATGTTGATTATTGTAAAATCATGATGAAAATTCTAAGTTAAAATTTTTTCCAAGTAATCATCCAAATGCCGACTCAAATTTTAAGTGTAAAATTTCCCAAGTAAAATGAAATTTTGACTAGCGAATCGTCCAAGTACCGATTCAGGTTTTTAATGGAAAATTTTTCAAGTTAAAATGAAATTTTGGCAAAACCAGTCTCCCAAATTCCGACTGGTATAATGAGTGGAAAATTTTCTATGTTAAAATGAAATTTTGGCAAAACCAGTCTCCCAAATTCCGACTGGTATAATGAGTGGAAAATTTTCTATGTTAAAATGAAATTTTGGCAAAACCAGTCTCCCGAATTCCGACTGGTATAACGAGTGGAAATTTTTCTAAGTTAAAATGAAATTTTGAAAAGCCAATCTCCAAAATTCTGACTGGTATAGCGAGTGGAAAATTTTCTAAGTTAAAATGAAATTTTGAAAAGCCAATCTCCCAAATTCCGACTGGTATAACGAGTGGAAAATTTTCTAAGTTAAAATGAAATTTTGGCAAAATCAGTCTCCCAAATTCTGACTGGTATAACGAGTGGAAAATTTTCTAAGTTAAAATGAAATTTTGGCAAAACCAGTCTCCCAAATTCTGACTGGTATAACGAGTGGAAAATTTTCTAAGTTAAAATGAAATTTTGAAAAGCCAATCTCCCAAATTCCGACTCGTATAACGAGTGGAAAATTTTCTAAGTTAAAATGAAATTTTGGCAAAACCAGTCTCCCAAATTCCGACTGGTATAACGAGTGGAAAATTTTCTAAGTTAAAATGAAATTTTGAAAAGCCAATCTCCCAAATTCCGACTCGTATAACGAGTGGAAAATTTTCTAAGTTAAAATGAAATTTTGGCAAAACCAGTCTCCCAAATTCCGACTGGTATAACGAGTGGAAAATTTTCTAAGTTAAAATGAAATTTTGGCAAAACCAGTCTCCCAAATTCCGACTGGTATAACGAGTGGAAAATTTTCTAAGTTAAAATGAAATTTTGGCAAAACCAGTCTCCCAAATTCTGACTGGTATAACGAGTGGAAAATTTTCTAAGTTAAAATGAAATTTTGGCAAAACCAGTCTCCCAAATTCTGACTGGTATAACGAGTGGAAAATTTTCTAAGTTAAAATGAAATTTTGGCAAAACCAGTCTCCCAAATTCCGACTGGTATAACGAGTGGAAAATTTTCTAAGTTAAAATGAAATTTTGGCAAAACCAGTCTCCCAAATTCCGACTGGTATAACGAGTGGAAAATTTTCTAAGTTAAAATGAAATTTTGGCAAAACCAGTCTCCCAAATTCCGACTGGTATAACGAGTGGAAAATTTTCTAAGTTAAAATGAAATTTTGGCAAAACCAGTCTCCCAAATTCTGACTGGTATAACGAGTGGAAAATTTTCTAAGTTAAAATGAAATTTTGAAATGCCAATCTCCCAAATTTCGACTCGTTTAACGAGTGGAAAATTTTCTGACTTAAAATGAAATTTTGGCAAAACCGGTCTCCCAAATTCTGACTGGTATAACGAGTGGAAAATTTTCTAAGTTAAAATGAAATTTTGAAAAGCCAATCTTCCAAATTTCGACTGGTATAGCGAGTGGAAAATTTTCTAAGTTAAAATGAAATTTTGAAAAGCCAATCTTCCAAATTTCGTCTGGTATAACGAGTGGAAAATTTTCTAAGTTAAAATGAAATTTTGAAAAGCCAATCTCCCAAATTCCGACTCGTATAACGAGTGGAAAATTTTCTAAGTTAAAATGAAATTTTGGCAAAACCAGTCTCCCAAATTCCGACTGGTATAACGAGTGGAAAATTTTCTAAGTTAAAATGAAATTTTGAAAAACCAGTCTCCCAAATTCCGACTCGTATAACGAGTGGAAAATTTTCTAAGTTAAAATGAAATTTTGGCAAAACCAGTCTCCCAAATTCCGACTGGTATAACGAGTGGAAAATTTTCTAAGTTAAAATGAAATTTTGGCAAAACCAGTCTCCCAAATTCCGACTGGTATAACGGTGAGAAAATTAAGCTGTGATTACGAAAGCTCTGACTCAGAGATGGAAGTGCAATATTTTGTTAAAATCAATAACCAAGATAGGAGATAAAGGAGATTAACCCAGCTTGAAAATCAATCGTATGCATAAGTCTTTCAAAAACCCGACTCACCTTAAGGAGAAAATGACTGGGTTAAAGATTCCCTTTCGAATACTGAGAGTCGTTCGGATACCGATTTCAAGAGTTTGATGGGGGTGAGCGAGCCTTTTTGATTTATACTCGCCCAGTCGGATTTTTACCGATCAATCACGAGTTTGGTCTTCGAGTTATTTATACTCGCCTAGTCGGATTTTTACCGATCAATCACGAGTTTGGTCTTCGAGTTATTTATACTCGCCCAGTCGGATTTTTACCGATCAATCACGAGTTTGGTACCTTTAAAACAACACACCTGTCGATCATGGAAAGATAAAAGAGATGGTATTTAATAAAATGGGAATTATTGGTTAGTCTTTCACATTTTTATAAGGAATAAAAATCTCTTGGGATGACCCCAGCTTCTTGGCTTTCAGCTGCCCTTTTGTTGATTTGTCCTTCCTCCGTCTTGATGTGACTTAGGGCGAAAGCTCTCACCTCTGACATCGTTTGGTAATTTGCTCTCTCTAGCGCGATGTCGAAAGCACCAGACCTTAACCCCTTTTGAAACGCAATGACCGCCATCCTTTTATCCAAAGACGCTATCCTTAAAGCAACCTCGTTGAACCTTTGCAAAAAATCTTTCAACAACTCCTCGCGTTGTTGTTTGAGATCAAACAAGTCTGACGTGATCGGCGATTTCTTTTTGTTGGCTGCGAACTGCGCCATGAAAAGCCGACTAAAGACGTCGAAGTCGGTGATTGATCGGTCAGGAAGACCACTAAACCAATCAAGGGCTACTTTTTTGAGCGTGCCCATGAACAGCTTGCAGCGAATTTCCATGCTCCCACCACAAATCAGCATTTGTGCTCGGAAATCCGTCAAGTGTTGACTAGGATCCTGGGTTCCGTCAAAAGGTTCCACCTGGGGGACCCGATGATCCCTCGGGATGATCTCGGTCTCTATAGCCTCCGAGAAAGGTCGGAAATCCCTAGGAACTTCCATCATGACATCTTCCTCCGCCGTTCGGGTATTGGCCGTTATCATAGCCTGCATCTCATCTGCTCGCCTCCTGATCTCCTCGTTTTCTCGCTGGATGGCCTCCTCCCTTTCTCTGGATCGTGCATTCTCCTCTCTCAAGCCATTGATCAATGCCATCATCTCCTCCATGGTAGGGTGTTGTGGGTCGTTGTTCGATGTGCCGCCTCTCGCCATGGTAAAGTGCAGGTTCTTCTATATGATTTGGGGCGCAGGAAAAGTTTTACCGTAGCCCCACGGTGGGCGCCAAAATGTTCCGGCCAAAGGGTGGACTAGGGTTTCTTCCTAGGTCAAGCCTCAAAGCCAGAACATTCAAGAGTGTAATCTGCCGTTTTAACTCTAGGGTTTTAGGTTTTATATTTTCTTGTTTGCGGGCCTCATGGGCCCCGAGAATGAGGGGATTTCCTTAACCGTTTTCATAGAGAACATTTGATTATTAGAAGTAAGATTTCTATCCTTAATTCTCGGATCAACGTGAAAAGTGAGGCTTGTTCGGATACTGGCCGATACCATCCAGGCCGAGTCCATACTGGCCGATACCAACCAGGCCGAGTCCATCCTGGCCGATGCCAACCAGGCCGAGTCCATCCTGGCCGATGCCAACCAGGCCGAGTTCACCAGCGTGACCGATATGGGATCGGGCTTTTACCGAGATCACCATCGTTGGGGGGGTATCAGGTTAAATTCTGATTGCTCCTACGCATGGGCCAAAAACCAGGTCGGCCGTATTCCGACTCCTCCCTTGACCGTATCGGAAACATACCGAGACGGTACACCATCTTATTTAAAATTATCTTTATTTTTATTTTGTATAAAGAAATACATTACAAAAAATTACATGTTAAACTATATATTAATACAAATTAAAAATATAAATAATATGTACATATATAATATGCTTGCAATTGATATCACAAAATATTAATATCTACATAGATATTATATCATTAAATATATAATTTAAAATTAATAATATACTATAAAAGTTATTTAAGTTGCATATATTACAAATAAATACATTAGAACAAGATGTTTAATAAGACTTTTTGCTTTTCCATTAAAAGATTCAATTCTCATTATTATTTTTGTGGTTTGCGGTTCCTTAAAAAAATAAAAAAAATTTGTAATTGAACCGGTTTGACCCGCCAGTTTACTGGTCGAACCGAAAAATTGATTGGTTCAATCTAATTTAAAACAGGTCAAATGCATAACCGATCTAACTTAAGATTTGGACCGACTGAACCACCAATTCTCGGTTCAACTGGTCTGACTGATCGGTTCGATCTGATTTTTAAAACACTACTAATACCAATAAACCAAACGTAGTTACACTACAAATAGTAAAATATATGATCTCGCTTTGCATTTGAAGGGGAAGAGTTTATGAAGATATAAAATGTTGTCTAATGCTATGGTTCTACATCTAATGAAGACATGTACATCACTATAATCTATATCTAAATGCATGTTTGAACATTGTGTTTGTTCAAATAATTTATTTTATATACACTTCTAGAAAGAAAAATAAATAAGAAAAAAATAATTTTAAAAAAGAAAATAATTAATTATATAAAAATTAATTTATAAAAAATTTCTTTTATTATCTTTTTAAAAATTAATTTTTATTTATAAAAAAATAATTGCGATTTTTTTAGTTATTATACTTAATTACAGTTTACTCTTCCTAATTAATTAAGTGCAGGGAAAATTTTGGTCCTTTTATTTGTTCAAATTTAATCCGTAATTTTAATAAATACGCAATTTTAATTCTACTACCATTAACTTTTCATCCAATTTGTAAAAGATGTTAATGACATGACAAATATAATAAGATGATTTTTTTTTCAACCTATACAACTTGTACCACATAAGCGTCTAACACTTACACGACACTAATTATTTTTTTTATAAGCCAAATTAAATCGCACAGTAAAAATAAGACAATATTCGTACAATGGTCTATCAATCCCTTTAATCACTTCGTCACTTTAATTAACTCACAATTGAATAAAAGAAAAGAATATTCAGCAATTCTTGTTTGCAGAAATATGACGAAGACTAATTATTTTTTTTCTTTTCATGTGTTTTCATTATATGGTTCTCTATTTATTATTTCTCTGTTACACAATATTAGTTTGGCATAAAAAAATTTAATTAGTGTCATATTAGATTTTTAAGTGATACAAATTGTCCACATTAAAAAAAAAAAATCTCACTAGATTCCCCATGTCATTAATTAACATCTGTTAGAAATTGAAAGAGAAATTAATATTAGGAGTAAAATTTGTTACTTTTAATTTTGTGGATAAAATTGAGCGATTAAAATTTCGAAGATCCAAATTGTTGGTACACTAAATTAAGAAGACGAGAACTGCAATTAAGCCTAGTTATTATATCTGACTTTAACGATTTTTTTTTAATATTTGACGTGAAAATAGCTGCCAAGGTAAGTTCATAATGCGTGTCCAAACACGATATATACATAAAGTTTAAATATCTTTTTTATCCTTTGAAAATTACTCTATTTAATTTTAATCACATTTTTTTTAATTTTAATCCTTTAAATTATTTTTTAAATACTATTATTATTTTTATTAAAATAGACCACCTCAACATTTAAATCATCATTAATTTTATAGACATGAAATTTTTTTAATTTGAAATATTAATTATTTTAGAATTAAGTTAGATTTTAAGGTAAGCTAATTTTACACTTAAATTTTTTTTATCATTCACTCTCAAAGGTAGGTATGAAAGTTCTAATGATTCATTTTTTTACTTAATCAAAGAGCCCCGGTAAACTCAAATATAATTCTCTAACAAACTTAAAACAAGATTTTTTTCTTCATTGTCATCACCATATACTTAAATGTTCAATTTCATGTCTTCGCCAATATTCGCTAAGTTATAAATTCTCAATTTTTAACAACACTTTTTCACTTTTAACGGTTCTCGAAGTCTTTAACACGTGAATTATTTTAAACAACACTTATTTTTCTCTCTCCCTAAGACGTTGTCTTTCAAAGATGGGAGGCCTTTGACTTCCTTCGATGAAGATGCAATCAAAATAAAGAAATAAAAAATAAAACAGAGCACTTTTGAAACTCTCATGCCTAGGTATGAGAGTGAATAATGAAAAATTTTAAGTGTAAAATTAGTTTTTATCTTAAAAACTTAATTTAATCTTAACGTAATTTATATTTCAAATTAAAAAGTTACATATTAGTAAAACTAATGATAATTTAGATGTTGAGATGACTTATTTTAACAAGAATTAACAGTATTTAAAAAAATTAAAGACAAGTATTATATAAACTTGAAGAACTAAAATCAATTTTTTAAAGCACTAAAATTAAATAAAGTCAATTTTTAAAAAATTAAAAACATATTTAATCCTATAAAAAAATTAATCTTAGAGTGGAACATGATTCTATTATGTGATGTGAATACCTTCATAGAACCAACATGCATTGTCTTTCGTAAATGAATAGATCAATATGGTCTATTCATAATCTATTCCATACATTTCTTTAAATACACATGTGAATAAAGATAGTAAATGATTATTAAGAGATTTTAAAATAAAAACTTATATATCAATTTTTTTTTATCTTTATTAATTATTATTATGCAATTTTTTAAAAGTTAAAATTATGGATTATAATAAGTTCACTAAAATAAGAAATTCTCTTTATATACATGTATATATAAAATTAAATGTATAAAGTAACAAAAGAAAATCAAAACAAAGTACATCTACAAACATACATATATAGCATTCTCTTCTGTTCTACAAGTAAACTCATGAGTGAACATCAAGCAGAAAAACTCCATCAACGAAGTCTAAAGATGCTAATTAATTGACTGCCAGTGGAACTGATTTTACCTGAAAAAGCACCAAGTAGTGAGTGAAATTCATTCTAGATGGAATTTCAGGAATTCCTAGTGGTTATATATGAAAACAAAGCAGTACTGAAAGTAAGAAACACATGTCCATTTCATTTAGTCACAGCTTCAAATAAAAATTGTTTTGAAGGCACAAGACACACTTCTAAACGAGAGAAATTATTACATGATCCGTCATTAATTACGTGAAATGTTATTAATTCTTTCATAAATTAAAAAAAAATATGGTCACATTCACATAATCACATAGCAAGTGGAAATAATTTCTCACTGAAAGGGTGCATTTCCCATACCATTATCGATTTTATTACTGGCAAAGCGGCTATAATAAAAGGAAAAACACGTGGCAATTTTTCTAAGGTGAAAGGCATAAAGATTGAACACAAAAACAGTAGTTGCACTTAGTGAACAGACCCCTCCTAATACAGTTATTAATTTTGGTTCTTTTACAACTGATGTAGATCAACCAACATAGAAAATTGATCATTGGTACTTCAGTTTTTACGTAAAAAAAAATACTTTTTTCCACGAGTATTGTCTTAACCGACGTAGAAATCAATTAAAACAATAATCGATGTAGTATAAATCATTTTCTACACTAATTATTACAACTTTTTATGTTGATTAAGATAATAATTCATGTGAAATAAGTCACTTTGTATATCACTTGATGTAATAGTCGGTGTACAAAATGATTTTTCTACATCAGTTAATATCTTAACAGGTGTAAACTAACTAACTTTAAAACAAAATTATTCCGATTCAATCATATTACAATATCAACAACATATAACATATAAAATTAGAATTGCATTAAAATAAGCTTACCATATCCCGGAACATGAGAATGTAAAACATCTCCAAGTACCGCCTAGTTTCTCGCCTCTCAAGCTTAGACACATGCTTCCAAAAGCCATACACACCAGCTAAAGTCAGGAGCCTCTCAGAGTATATCTTCCATGTATACCTACAAAGTTAAAACACAAAATAAAATTCAGTTTCTAAGTAGAGGAAGATAAATCTCTTGAAATGTCCACCTAGCAAAAATAGACCTCTCATGAATGCGCTTAAACCCTGCATCAGAAATCTTGTTCCAGTAGCCAGGATCATGCTGGCATTGCTCAAAAAAGTTTATTAACATTGCAGCAACATGATCAGGGTGATGAGGCTCAATATGGAATCCACAAATGCCATGCTCAATTATCTCAGCAGGGCCACCATGACAGGTGGCAAACGTAGGAAGACCACAAGACATAGCTTCCACAATTGTTAGGCCAAACCCTTCATAAAAAGCAGGCTGCAACAAGTAACAAGAACATGGTGGAACTTTAATAATATATATACATATATAACCATTAACCGCCAAACATTTGAGGACGTTTGTAACATGGAATGATATTGTACTATCAAGAATCACAGTTCCATATCATATAAACTGAAATGTTATTCTCGAGAATATTTCAAAATACATATGTATGTTTAAATTTAAACATTCTAAAGAATATTTTAAGATTGAAAACAATAAAAGTAGAAAATAAAAGTTAGAAGAAAAATTATACTTGAGTTATCTCGCATATTTTAGGAAATATAACTTTTTTCACCTCTCACCATGAGAATCAAAATAGTTTAAATCATGATATAACTTACTTTCTCATGAATAAACAATATCAAAAAATATATTTTTCAAATTTTTTAACTTGAGAATTCTGCATTCCAAGTTTATGTTCCCATTAATGGTGTTTTAATTGTGAAACAAACACCCAATTAAACTTCAAAATGAATCCTTATCTTTCTCCTACCTGCACAAAAGCACCTTTCACATCAGCAATACAACGGTATAGCTCCCCATTACGAGCACGGTTCATTTGGGCCTTTATCCAACGAAATTGGCCGTGTAAGTTGTATTTTTCTATGAGGCTGTGCATTTTCTCTATCTCCCCCATTTCTTCTTTGTCCCTAGACTTGTGTACATCAATGTGACCACCAACTACCACAAGATTCACAAGCTCTCTCAGCTTGGAGCTTTTACCAAAGCATTCAACAAGCCCCGTCACATTTTTCACTTCATCAAGTTTTGCCATTGAAAAGATAATTGGTTTTGATCTATCATTCAACAAGCCACTGCATAAGCCAAAAAAAAAAGAGATGTTAAACAAAATTCTTATCTGCAAATAGTGTTATAACTTGCAAGTGGAATAGAGGAATCGCAAAAGATGCTTTGACTTAATTCATAAGAAAATGCACTCCAGAAACACAATCTGCTCTACTCAGCCAGGGAAATTTTCACTGAGTAAAGATAAAAGCCACATGTTCAAATTTTGAAACTATAAACCAGTAAATTTCTTATTCTCTAGATATGTTATCATACAAGTTGTTAAAAACAGGGAAATTTAACGAGATTCGACGATATATTTACGTCCTCGAGTGAGGAGCTTGCAAAATTTCCCCTATCTGCTAGCCCATAACAATATATGAGCCATGCACATCAATAATTATCAAATTAGGAGAGTAAAACAGATCCAGTTAGAAGCTGCATGACAATGAAACAAATTAAATTTTGGTATTAACATTGGTTGATACAAATGCTATTAACTTGTGTTGTTTAATTAAGTTATTTTAAGTTTAAATCTTGATTTTAGATATAAAATAAAGATGAAAAATACTTATCTCATATATAGTTACGGTTGAGGTTATTCACTATTTCCAGTAGTGGGCACTTCTTACCATTATCATATTTATCGACATAGGAGTGATCCACTTATGCTAAAAATAATTTTCAATAGAATACTTTCTCTACAACTCATGATATAGATTGAATTTTAATTTGAATTTAGAAAAGAAAACTTCTTATAATATGGAAAAAGCGATATTAATTTGTGCATTATTTGTACAATCCTATGTTTTAAAGAGGCTGAAATAATGTTTATTAAGGTTAGTTCACTAGATAGTAACGATGTGACTCTGTCAATTTGATCTTTAAATCTCCAACCTTGATGTATGTCTAACTATGCCAATCCGAAAAAGTAAATTTGAAAAGAAGAAAACAAAAGCATGCCTTTTTTACCATGCAAACATTTATCCTGTTGAAAAATACTCACATGTGCTCTTCATTCTGTTCAGCACCATATACCAGCTTTTCAATCGAACCATGTAGAGAAGTTAGTCTCTTTTCTGTGTCGGAGTATGGAAAATACATGCGCATGTCTGCACCAGGAGACACGATATTAAACTTTGGATCGAAAACATCTATGCCATGAACTACACGATATAGTCCTGGAAGAGTGAAGGCAGTGTAGCTCTCGTATTGTCCAACATTATTCTTGCTGAGGGAAAGTAATAAACGATGTTAGGCGATAATGTGATATGTAAATCAAACAGTATATTTTGAAAATCACATATAACCAACTGAAGAAAAAAGTGCAACGCGCTAATGCATCAAATGCTACACAACAAATATGTCAAAGAACCAGCTTAAATACTTATATATATCATTCGAGTACTTTTTGATGAAATCTTATATATTAACTCCAAGTTAGATTAGAAATTCTCATTGTGTGACCATGACTAAAAATTATGAAAAGTGGATAACAGAAAGTTTCCACATCGATATTTCTTAAATCCAACATTTCTTTAGAGTCCAACAAAAGTTGGCGGGGAATTCAATATGCATGATCATGAATGCTTATATAGTTATATTGCTCTGTGCATGCCTGTATGTTTTGGAGGATAGAGTAAGAGACAAAAAGAGAAATTGTTAGATTGTGGCAGGAAGATCCAACTTAGGTCAACATACAAAACATCACATGATTATGTAAAATCTAATGTGACATTTGTCTTAAACTGAAATGAATCTTTTGAACATTGATTACCAGTGTGATGAAAACAATAATCGAACTTTCATTTTAAGTATATGTTTCTCTACAAAAGAGCATACCTTCCTGCAATTTCTTGGTATGTACTAGTGATTATAAAATCCGCATTGTTCATTGCAATAAGGTCAGCTGTGAATTGACAAGTAAAATGGTACTTGTCTTCATATTTTTTCCAATATATATCGGAATCAGGATACTTAGTTTTCTCCAATGCATGAGCTATGTTGCACTACACGGAAAGTTCAGTAAAGAAAACATTAGTAAAAGATGGAGCAGTCTTGGCATCCTTCCAGGCCCAAAAAAGGAGTGATAATGCATTTATAAGTTGTTTGAACTTTGCATTTGACAATAACTTGATGTTGAAATGTTAGCAAGCGCACCTGTGTGATTCCTAGCTTATACGATAACAAGGTTGCAACAAGATTTCCATTACTGTAGTTTCCTATTATCAGATCAGGAATTCCTTGTAACTCAGCTGCAATTTCGTGTGATGCATCCTTTATATCGAGTAAGAGACAATCATTTTCCAAAACCCAGAAATGGCATTAGACTATGCAGACAAGACAAAAGATTATACATCAGCTGATACTTACCTCAGCAAATGTCTCTAGATAAGGCCACATGTCAAACTTTGAAATCCATTTTCTCAAAATTCCATTCTTAGTTCTGAAAGTTACTCGCAATATATATGTGTGCTCAGTTCCACTAACTCTTTCCAGTCTCTGATTGCATGTTGTCCCTTTTGCCTCTGGTATCAATCTTGTAACCTGGAAGCACCACAAGGGTTTCACTAAAATGTGATACAAATATTTCTTTTGCCATACCTAGAAATGCCAGAGGACTTTGGAATCACATACGATCAGAATTTTCGGAGACACATCAAGTCCTTGTTTTTGAATTTTGTCAAGCATCTCATTTTCCAAGGCACGCACTTGATCAAGTATATATATAGTCTGTCCATCATGAGTGACATTAAGCACAAGGAAATATAGTTCTTTATAAAGTATTATAACATGTCAACATCATAAGCACAATAACCAATCGTTTGATTTCAGTTGTACTTAATGTCATGTAGAATTCATAAAACTTATGAAACAATACCTGCCCACCAGTATCAGGCAAACCCAGAATATTTGCTTGGCCAAAGTAACCATGTGGTGATACAACTACGACATTGAACACCATAGGAATTCTTCCTAGAAATGTCTCTAAGGTGTTTGGATCAGGAGCTTGAAGGATGTCTAATAGAAGATGCACCATTTCTGACACCCTCTCTGCTGTATCACCCCAACCTCTCTCAAATCCCAATCCTTGTAGTCTACACTCAAATGATGAAGAAAAAAAGAAATCTAATTTCAGTGTATCCACTATCCATTAGTTACCTCTAGATGTAATTAGTTAGCTTCAAAACTACTGAAATTTCAGAAATACAACAGTTTTTAGAGATCCTTTCTTACTCATATTCAAAGTCAGAATATGGTGTATTGGGTATGAGCCTAGAAAGGACTTCTTCTGCCTTTGCCAAAGAAGACTGGAGCTTGGATATGTTACGGATGCGGTCATTTAGCATCATTGCCTGCATAATATATTTGTAAAAATTTACAAAATTACAGCCAGTCTTGAAGGTTATCTAATCCACTTAGTTGGAAGCAACACTGACATAATTCATCAACTATGATAAATGAGGAAGGTAAAATAAGAATAGCACTATAATTTAATATGTTCACACTAAAAGAACAAATCTTCACCATCGAACGAATATATCTTTATATTGATATTTTAAGATTTCTGGGCATCGGTCAAAATTTCTACAAATAAATATCACTGTTTCTAAATGATTGAATGATGCTTTTAGACAAACTTACATGGCCATCATATTTGTGTGCGCGAAGAAAAGCAAGGAGAGGTTCCAAACTTTCTTTGTTACGAAACATGAATGATGATAGATGACGGTTGAGAAATTGAACCCCATTACCAATAGAGGATGATCGAGTTGGTCCAGGGAATGTTGCATTAAATGGCTCAAAATCTAGTTCAAGCACGTTTTTGCCATTGCACCTGGATCAAAATTTCAAAAATCATCATGTAATAATTTCATTTCTCCTTGAAGCCAAACTGAAACCATAGAATGCCACGCAATTCATTTATTTCATTCAACACTTTGGGGGATGGTAAAGAATAAATTCAAAACGTAGTGAAGAAAATAATTCACATAACAAAGATAACCCTTACTCTCCATCTACAAGTTCTTCTTTGAATCGTAGATATTCTGCAACACTCAGATTATCCACATTGAGTTCAAATGCATTAACACGAGCATACTCCCAAACACCAGGTCTTGGACGCAAAGCCATTGACACAAAAGGAGGTATAACTATGGCTTCCTGTGGCAACAACAGGAACAAAAGCTTTTTAAAAACTGCAATGACAAGGAAAACTCGAGAAAATTCAACTATTGTATGTCATTTATCAAAGCTATAACTTACGAAAATATACTTAGCTAACCTTTGCAGATTCTAGCTCTTTGACAAAGGGGCTATCTTTGAGTTTCCACATCCCTTCATCCTCTTCAAGAATCTTTTCTACCTCGTGCCTCAGGTCATGTGATTGTAGTATTCCTTTGCCCCCAGCAACATACCTTTGCAACAAAAATAGTAGTTATTTACTCATCACACACATACTTATCATTCACGAAGAATCTAAGAATACCCGGTTGCCAAAATCACAACTCTAACTTTCCCCTGGAGAGAAGAGAGATCATCTCGTTGCGGTGACTAGAGGGTGTCTTGCACCCTCTCTCTCACGCCAGAAGCTTTTTCGAATCTGGAAGAGAAAATTATCAACTGGAAATGGCAAAAACAGTGTGAAGCATTAGAAAAAAGAGAGAAAGTACAAAAGAGTGCGTGAAAGAGAGAAAGGAAGAGGAAGACATTGGGGATGAGGTTAAGGTTTATATATAGGGGAAGAGAAAAGAGGAGGAAGCAAGGGATAAGGCAAGTAAGGGAAAGAAAATGAAGAGAGTGTAGAAATTGAAGTGGCATTGTTGTTTGCACTTGGCACTTAGGAGGAAGAGGTGGCTGCATGCATGCACTTGTCACCCCACAACACAAACTGCATGCGGATGTTCCATTCCCTCTTGATTTAAATTCTCAAACGGTGGATTTGTTTTTTTGTGGTTTCGATTTTACAATTCTGCAACCGAACCAAACAGACATAGAATTTCCCTCCAAAAAATATTCACTACTTTAAGCGTCGAAATATTATTTTGCAACTAATAACCCGTGTTCAAGTTCTCTCACTCATGCCACAAAGGTGCAGCACCGAAAGGAAATCTCGTGACTTTATAGTGTGTTTGGACGAAGAATTTTACAAATTTAAAGAATTTTAAATTCTTGGTATTTGAATTACTTTGATTTCAATTTCTATCATTCTTAAAATATTTTGTTTGGATGAATCAATTCAAATTTCTTAAATTTTAAATTGTTAGGTTGAATATGATAATTTGATTCCACCATAATAAAATTGATTTTAAAAATATATTTATATGTTGAGATTTTAAAATTAAATTTTATAAAAATAAATATTAATCTATTTTTAAATATTTAAAAAATTTAAAAATTAATATTAGATAATATTTAATAATTTTAAAAATATTTTTGAATATCCAATAATTAAAAGAATGAAGAGATAAGATAAAATATATAGGTGAAATAAGAAAACAAATATGAGGAATTTCAAATTCTCCCATTTTTGGGAAAATTTAAAATTCTACTATTTGAAAGAATTTCCCAAATGCTTGAATTTCAAATTCTTTTTAAATTCTTCATCCAAACAAAACATTTCACTTCAAGAAATTTGAAATTCTTCAAATAAATGAATTATCCTATATAAATTTTCCATTCAAACACATCATTAGAGTGCGTTTGTTTTAAGTTATACAAAATTATTCAAAGAACGTAAGTTCGATGAAGGGCTTTTTACCCAAGTAGGCTAATTATTAGACATATTATAATATTATATAAAGGAGACTCTTAGAACTTTTTACTATTTTAGGGTGTGTAGACGTTGATCAACACAATATATGTAATTTTTATATATAAAAAAAAATGGTGCAATAGTGAAGTCGGAGTCTTCTACGTCAATACTGGTTAGTATGTAGTTAAACAAGCGTCGCTAGCCAAGTAGAGGATCCAATTTTTTTTTTTTTTTTTTTTATAATAATTGGTGTTGCTAGAACTAGTTGTTGTAATTTTTTTTTCTTGTGTTGCTGTTCCAAGTGTGGGATCTATTTATTTTAAATAATCGGTATCGTTATTTTCGATGATAACTAGCTTTTATAATTTATTTTCCTTTTAGTATTGCTGTTTCAAGTAGAGATCAATTTTTTTAATATTTTTTAATAATTGGTGCTTTTGGTGTGAGCAACACCATCATAATAATAATAATAATAATATTTTTTTAATAATTAAAAATATAATTAATAAATAAATATTTTCTGGACTTATTTATTTTCAGAAAGTTAAATTACATATATTTTTCTTCTTTCTATTCTCATGTGAAGCAATGGAAATGTTATATTTCCATGAAAATGAAAGTTATTTTCTTACATAACTTTTTTATTTTTATTCTACCTCCTTTTTTTGAATTCTTATTTTTGCATTGAAATGAATTTAAAATATTTCAGGAATGATAAATATTTAGGAAAAAATATTCTTAGTATTAATAGTACTCCAAAAAATTCTCATTATCAGAAATATAATTAAATTCACGAAACAATGCAAACACCCCTTAACAGACATAGAGCACACTTTTAAGTCAATATATATCAGTTAAAGGTTATTCAATGTCAGCGGCATATATTGTACAACTACTTCTTTAAAAATTTAAATAAATTTTATATGTTAATCTTTATTATATATAAAAAATTTAATAATCAAAATTTGGATTCCCCACTTTCCTATATAGAAATGTCTTTCGGAAAGCAAAGGAATATGCAACCCATCTAAAGGCAGTAATGTATTCACTACAGATTCTTGTGATCCATAAGACAGGAATATGCAAATGCAACTTCGTTCTTGAATAACATTTGAAATTGTAATAGAAGCCACTAGTGGGAATCAAATTGTTGCCACAAGGTTGCATTCAAGACTATAAAACTGTGTAGCAACAATTAATACCATGCTTTCTCTCAAATTTTGCCGCGAACCACTTCTGGTTGTTGTTATTGTAATCTTTGGACCGAATTCATGGACTTATTTGCCATGTAAATAAAAATTATATATAGCGTGTAATTTCTTGAAGTACATGGTTGCATCACTTTAAAAGGGGTGCATGATAGACAGCATCCTTAACACTTTGTTTGCATTAATAGAAAGATGAAAGAAGAAAAAGGAATGAGAGGAATACACATTTTTCTAAATAATTTTCTTTGTTTGATACATGTGAAAATGAGAGAGGGACTAAAAAAATATGTGGATTCCATGCAAAAATTCTTTCTTTCTAATTTGGAAAAACAATAAAAATAAATAAATAAATTTAAATTACTATTATATCCTTAATAATTACACTACATCAAAATTATTATATCTCAATTTTATTAAGTCATTTATGTCTTTTAAAATATATATTTCTTTCTTTTCTTTAATTCTTTTCTCCTGTAACAAATGACTTAATAATTATTTCATTTTTCATTTATTTCTTTATTTCTTTATTTTTTTCACTTTATTTTCTTTTACCTTTCTTCCGTAAACCAAACAAACCGTAACTTCATTTTTCATCTTCCCTTTGGGTAACCATTGAATTTTATATATTGACAGTAGCTAGTTTATTCATATATAGTACTCCGTACATGAGAAGTTTAAACGTAATTTGTTTAGTTGTTGTGTATTCTATAGATGTTTTAAATTTAAATAAAATCTATACATAAAATGTCATTATTACTAAATAATAGTAAAATTTCATATTTTAAATAAAAGATAGTATAATTCAGGAAGAAGTTATTTATCAAATAGGAATAATTAAATTAAAGATAAGAGTTTTAATTTTTTTAAGAAGAAATAATAAAAATAAATAAATTATTTGAATTATATACTACTTTATGTTTATTAATTTTTTTTTTTGGTTCATCTCTGGAGTATCCAGGGCCGATAGCGGTGACTAATCTCCTCGCTACGAGGGAGGCACCTCAAAGGGTGGGATAGCTGGTCCCAAGATTTAACGCGGCTGCATACACAAGGCAGGATTCGAATTCCTGACCTTGCTTAAGCGTGGATTAACCCCTACCGTTGAACCACACGCTTGAGGTTTTATGTTTATTAATTTGATATGATATATTGGAATTTAAATTTTAAATTTAATTAATGAGATTTAAATAATAGTATTTGAAAAGAATAAAATGTATAAAAATCAAACCTATGATACTTGATGTAAATAATAATATAAAAAAAAAGTCTCAAGTGACCCACTAAAAAAATAAATCCTTTTTTTTTTCGTTCAAGAGTTATTATTCACATTTACAACATAAAAGTATCATTTTAAAGTAAACGTAAGATGGAATAACCAAGAAATATCGGCATCGACCTAGTTATAGATATGTATAAAAATGAATACTTGGTGATCTTTATTCCAGCTGCTGTTAATGGTAATATAGTCTATCGAATAAAAAAAATAGAATAATATATACAACCAATAAAAGTACAATTTAATTATAGGGATCAGATGGGACTTAGATTATCCATGAATCATGATTGATCTATCTGGAGCAATTCGATTTTAAATAAATAACAAAAGATAGCCGAATTAGATAGATTTAGGACGCATTTTTTTTTTACTGAAAGGACACATTATGCTTGTTTCTCGTGATTTAATTTATTTTTTATAGAAGTGAATTTATAATAGAATAGCTTTAGTGCGAACTAGAATCTCCTTCTCCACGTCCTTTATCATGATCGATTAATTAAAACTAATTAAGACTGGATGGCTACACCAACTCTAAGTTGAAAATTTCCGCCATAGAATCACAAATTATTACACCGTATAAAATTTGTCACTATATATATTTATAACATAGATATAAATTTATTTAATATTATATATTTTAATATTAATTTTAAATAAAATTTAATATATATTATGAGTAGTTATAATTTATACTTATATTTTTTAATAATATATCAATATATATTAATTGAAGTATTTTTTTTTTAAGTGTCTGACGGCTCCTATTCTGGTTGCTGTGGTCTTCATCGACTCAAACAAGTGTAGCTAATAGTTTACCTGAATCATATCTGATAGCCGTCCAAAACACCAAATTCCATATCTGTTAGTGCTATTAATTTGAAAATATCCTGTAACGAATCAAACTTAAAACCGAACCATATCAGAATAGAAATCACATAAAAATTATTGTTTATACTGTAGTGTATAATTATTCAATATCTACATCCGTATAATTAATGGGGGATCAAGATAATATAGCCTTTCACAGATTCGACAAAAAGATACCGAGATATTTAATTTGTAACCACATAAAAAAAAGGCTTCATATATATGAATATCATAAAGTACAATCCAAAGAAGTGTCTATATTTTATAAAAGCATTAGTCTTGCTTCCCTTGTAATTTTTGACATGTAATGTGTGGTTCATTCGTACATGTATATCACAATATTCTGCAAGATATATTAATTAATAAAAAGCCACTTTTTCAATCTATATAAGGAGCTTTGGGTTTCCTACATTTTGAGCAAGAAACCAGATAACCCCAAGAGCAACTTCATTACAATTTTTTTACAATGTGTCCAAAGGCATCTCCAAACCTTCACAAAATAGGTTCTGAAGGCTTTGATCTGATAGAGAAGCACTATGGTCGATTCAGAAGGCCTCAAGTTCCCACAGTACATGAAGTGCCTGTGATTGTCAATAGCAATAACGCAGTTGATCTATTTGGTGGGGTTAATATTGACAATATTGAAAAGCCAAAACCACCACGTCGAAATTGGGCTGGTAGATCATTGGTTTCGTTAAATATATAGTGTCAACTAGTGTGTATGTAATTCTACTTAGGTTTGCTCTTCTGTTTTTCTTTCCCCTTTATTACATACTTGCAAGAAGTATGAAAGTACTGAAAGAGCTTGCGGTAGTGTCACTAGCTAGTGTGCATAAGTTTTTTGTGTAGCTGAAAGATGATATGTATATGATTGCCTTGTAGCGGATATGCAATAGGGTTGTGTAACAAGTCCCACATCGGGAAGGTCTCCTTACCAGGGAGGCCTTATAAGGCGGGAGGTTCTCCAACCTCTTGGGCCGGCTTTTGAGGGATGGTTCCCCTCCTTAGCCTTATGCTCGTTACAATGGTGCTTTCATTGAGAGCCAGCCAAATCGAGAAGGGCTACCCACGGAGGGTTCTGACCACCGGAGGGTACTGACCGGCAAGGGCCGAGTGAAGTACCGGTGAGTAAAGTACCGTGGAGTGCAGCCATCGAGGACGCTGGCTTTCGAAGGGGGTGGTAATGTAACAAGTCCCACATCGGGAAGGTCTCCTTACCAGGGAGGCCTTATAAGGCGGGAGGTTCTCCAACCTCTTGGGCCGGCTTTTGAGGGATGGTTCCCCTCCTTAGCCTTATGCTCGTTACAGGTTGTCTTGTATGTATTGATATTTGAAATTTACATTTTCTCCTTTTGTTTGGTCAATAATTCACCTGCCATTGTCAAATATCCTATTATATATATATGTTTCGTATGTACCAGCCAGCTGTTAATGTGAGAGTGATCATTGTGGTGAATCATTGATTCAAATACTGGTTAACATAGATGTTCTACTAATCGGTTTAACATTTAAAAATTATAAATTGATTTTGAGTTGAAGTAACTATAGACAATTATTGCATTGGATAACAAATTTTATGCTGGATCTTACTAGTGACATACTTTTAAAATAAAAACTTTGTAAATAGAAATTATATCACTTAAAACTTATTTTATTTAAAATTATTTTTTCAAATGTTGGGCCTAACAACCCACTTAATTTAAAGGAATCCAAATCGTAAACTTGATTTTGATATATCATTTGTTGAATAAATGAAGTACTAATTAATTATGACAATTGACAAGAACAATACAGAGCTTGGAAGTTTTATGGGATTCTCTCCTTCAGTTTGTGGAAGCGGAAGGAGAAAACAACCCAACAATAACCATGATTCCATTGGGATTTTTCACTTTTTGGCCAATTCCACTTTATCACTTATGCTTTTACTTTAAGATTTCGTGGTGTGGCTTGGTGGTTGGAAAGACTTCGGCTTAACTAATTCACATGGTATGTGTAAGCGAGAGAAGAATGGATAGAAAAATGGTCATGTATATGTTTACCAGGAAATTATTATATATACGGTCCGCACTACCATGTATTTTATAGTTTAATTAACTTTTACTTAACATATAAATAATATTTTTAACTTAAAAGAAAATTAGTAACACCGAATTACATGTCACCGAAAGATAGTATGGTAACAATTTTGGACCATGTAATAATTTCTGAATTGAAGGCCCTAAGGCTGGGGAGGGGTATTTGAATGACCAAGAAAGAAAAATATATATCTTTTTCACTATGATTCAGGTTGATGATCATTGTAAACATATGACTTTATCAAATAGAAACTACTTGCTGCAAATTTACTTCTGATCAAATCTAAATTTATGTTTATAAAAGTTAAATCGAATAGATTGGGAAAAAGGTCATGCTGAAGGAAACATTTTCAGTTTGGAAAGAGCTGAATGATTGGAATGATTTGAGAGAGGGTGGAATTCGAATTCGGTTCAAAGATTGAAATTAGACTACGTAAAGAAGAGGGGGAGGTTAAAATTTGCTCCAACTATGATTTATATTATATTTGTAAAATAAAGCATTATGTAGTTTGAGTACAACCATAGATCAAACCAGACCCTACTCGTTGTATTCCCCGGCTTCAGTTGGAAACCCTCTTCCAGCCACAATAATGCCTTCCTCAAAGAATTCCAAACAGGTGAACCTTTCTTTTGAGTTTTGACCCGCCAGAAACAGATATTCCATACAAATACTTATGGACTAAAACTTCAGAGTTTTGGACTATCTTGTAAAATCTCCCAGACTAGCTTCCCTAACAATGACACATTCTTCAGCCTAGACCCAATCATTGACCGAGATCCATTTTGCAATTTGCTATATTTCTTATAAATATTGAATTCACAATTTTGAGTTGACCCTTTAATTTTTAATTATGCAATTTTGGTCTCTTGTTGAATGTTCATTCATAAACTTATTTTACTTAATAACTCATGTTCTACATTAAATTTTAAATAATTTAATTATTAAATTAAAAGTTATTGATGTGTAGACAAAGCCTACAAAGTTTTAAAAATTTGAAAATCTTATGATATTTCGTTTTATTAATTGAAATCGACAAATGATGATAAAAATATTTTGTACGTTGTCTTCTATGAAGCATATCGCTAATTTTGTTAACAAAAAATTCACCGATTCATTAATTAAAAGCATGTCATCTAAATCGATTCATCCCTAGATAATGTGCTTTTATTTCTCTTCTATCAAACAATGTCAATTCTTTAAATGAAAAGTCCACCAATTCATTTATTAAAAGCATGCCATCTAAAAATTAGTAAAAGCATACCATCTAAAAATCAGTGGTGCTTGGTAGAAGAGAAATATATATTTCTCTTCTACCAAGCATCGCCAATTCTTCGAACGAAAAGTCCACTAGTTCAATATTTATTAACACATTATCTAAAATTTGGTGGTTTTATAAGACAAGAAACACTCTTTGGAAGTTTGGCACGGTATTCCTAAACCATTTAACATTTCTTTGCTAGAATGTGAAATGAAAGCCATCAAGTTATAAGTTCTTGTTCCCTTTACACTCTTTGGAAGTTTCGCATGGTATTCCTAAACCATTTAACATTTCTTTGATAGAATGTGAAATTAAAGCCATCAAGGTACAAGTTTGTTCCCTTTTCACACCGGATCATATAGATGTAAATAAGCTATTATAAGAAAGTTATTTATTAACTTTATTGAAAGTTAGTTTTCGTTGGAAAATTTAATTGACCCTTTTTAATAGAATCTTTCATCAATCCTAGTCATATATTTTTTTTTATTTATAAAACTTGAATCTATAACTTTACTTAAAAAAATCAAGTTATAGAACTTTAGTACAACATCGTTCGAACCAACTAATTGTTAGTATTGATATCTTGAATGGTGAAACTACTTAGATTTATTATTTTTCTCTTATTTGAACAACTCTTTTGCCATAGTTAAATTAAATCTAGTGTTTCCTTAAATAGACAATATCAATTGCCGTAGATTTGTTCTAGGTCGATTTGTGGTCTTGAACTTTAGTTTAAGCTAAGGAGAATTGTTCATGTTCTAGTGTTTTTTAGTCCATTTTTCTAATAAAGATATATTAATTGGCGTAGAATTGTTATAGGTATATACTTGTATTTAATATTTAATTTTTTATTATCATTTATAATAATTTTACTTAATTTGAATAAATTTATCTTTTACAAAATACTTGTAGTGTCTAGTTTTTATTTTTATTTTTATTAATGTGTACACTTGGTCAAATGCACAAACTTGATCTCGATATATAATAATAAAAAATATTAAAAAAATATGCCATTGATATTTTATAAAATGAAATTCACTATTTAATTATATTATCGCCTACAATATATATCGTAAGATTTAAAATTTTATTATTGTAAAAAAATGTTCTCATTAATTAAGACCGCCTTTGATTAAGGGTTAGGAATCACACCAACACTTAGATATAGTATTATATTATATTCATTTTTATACTCGTTCTTTAAAGAAAAGAAAATACTCATCTTCAAATGTATAGTCATATGTGGCTAATAACTTTAGTTTTCATTCCTATGTATTATACGTATCTAAATATTTATATCCAAACTCTACCGTTAAACTAAATTAATAAAATTGTTATTTCATATATCCAGCCTTGTTTCTAAGTATAGTGGACAAGGTAAAATTCGTAAAATTCAAGTTTACAAATGTAATATTAGTTTTCTTATTTTAATTTGAATAGAGTTGCGCAAGCTATAATGGCTAGTAAAGTATTTATATCTGTATTTTTATAACTTTTTTTGGGGATATATATGTAAATAAAATATATTATTTATTTTTAATAATTTAAAGTAGGTTGGTGTACTTTTACAGATTTCATGTCATTATTATTATATTATGCATTTGAGTAAGTTCGCATTTTATAGGGATAGGGGATAGGAGATAGGGATGCCGATACTACTAAGAAATCTAACTACGTCATGGAGTTTACGTCAGTAATAAAGAGGGTAAGAGAATCTTTGCATTTGACACTTTGACTATGTTTGGGTGGCATTTCCAACAAGAATATTTGAATGTAAAAAATTGCAAGAACATAATGCAAAATAATCTTTACACCGACCTGCATAAAAGAGACTCTCATGTTTATGTTAGCAAGTATTCGGATGAAAGAAGTGCTACGGTACCATCAAAATTGAAGGATTTTGGTACATCACATTATATGAACAAATAAATTTTAAAAAATAAATTTAAAATAATATAAATTTTAGATTAAAAATTTATATAAAATAAATTAATCAAAAAGACTAATTCAAGAAAATAATCAAAAGGTTAATTTTCATAACAAATTTTATTTATATGTGATAGAATTAAAAAATTAAAGACAAAAAATATAATAATAATATAAAAATATTAAAATAAGAAAAAAATAATAAATAATATAATTGAAAAACTAATTTATACTATAAATTAAAAAATTAACTCCAAAAAAATTAAAACGTATTAGCAACATATTAATATTAAATTATTTAATTATAATAGATGTTACATTAAGATAAAAGTTAAAAAATAAAAAAATAATTTAAAGATATAAAATTTTTTATAAAGATAAATTATTAAAAATAATAAATAAAAATAAAAATAAAACAAGTAATTACAATAAATTAGAAAAAAAATATTCAACTGTTCCGGTACCCATGGGTACCGTAGAGTTTTCCTTCGGACGATCGCGTATCTTGTATATGTGATGTATTTTATGAAAGTTTGATATATGTATATTTATAAATAAAAAAATGTTATCGTTTGAAGATCTAATCTTTAAATGTATTTGTACTATCCTAGCTACAGGGCCGAGATGACCATAATATTACTTTTAATGTAAAGGCTAATGAATGCCACCTTGGAATCTCGACACCTCGGCATAAGGTACTATGTCCATCTCGGCATACAAATATCATTGAACACATTGGCATATAGATAACTTAACCGCAATTAACCGACCACAGGTAACGGTACAACAGTTACAAGAGGTAACCGTAAACGATATGCAATAAGATAGACATTAGGAGAGATAGAAAGATAGAATAACTTGATCGTCAGAGTCCTTTTTGCAGGTACATCCGAGGAGCAAGAAGAAAGGAGATCGGACATCGTGAAGAACAACCACTTACGTGAAGAGACGAGACTTACGTGAGGAGACGAGTTGACATCGGTAAGAACATTTGGCGCTAGAAGGAGGGCTTGGTAAAATTCTCCCTCCGACTACCATATGGTTTCAACTCGGAGTCAAACCAACAACATGGAAGACAACGCCACTTTAAGGCGGTTACTTGAACAAATCGAATTGATGCAGCAACAACATGCAGCAGCGATGGAGACCATGCGCAAACAACATGAGGATGTTTTGCAACAGTTACGTGCCGAGAATGCATCCTTTCGAGCCCATGGGCAACAACATCGTTCCCCATCGCCACCACCTCGGTCTAGCCATGTTCCAACGGCAACCGAAGAGCATCATTCCACGTCAGATCCCACTTACGCTTCAGAATCCTTCCGAACTCACCGTTCTACACATACCCATGCTAGTCGTGCAACATACGATCATCATTCTACTCGGCGTCATCCCTTCGTGGATGGCATCATGGAAGTTCCCCTACCACCGACATGGAAACCATTGAACATCGAGCGTTACGATGGAACAACTGATCCTGATGAACACATCGACGCCTACGTCACTCAAGTCAACTTGTACACAAACGAAGACGCCATCCTCTGTCGTGTCTTCCCAACCTCACTTAAAGGAGCCGCACTTAGTTGGTATACCTAACTTCCACCCCGTTCTGTCAACAACTTTGACACTCTGGTACGACTTTTTTTCAGCACAATACGCTACAAGCCGACCTCATCATATAACATCTGCGGCACTTTCCAACCTACGACAACGAGATGACGAATCTTTAAGGTGTTTTATGGAACGTTTTGCCAATGTCTCCATCAAGATCCGTCATCTTAACCCCGAAGTCGCCCTCCATTCCATGTTGATGGCGTTAAAACCTGGACCTTTTGTGGACAGCCTTTGTCGACATCAAGCAAATATGGACGAGCTTCGAGCCCGTGCAGCAGGATATATTCAGATGGAAGAACATGTTAAATTCCGCAATAATATCCGAGATAGTCTCTCTAACAAGGGTGAATCTAGTGGTGGTGGCAAAGAGAAGTCCAAACCTTATCCTACTGACCCAAAATCCAAAAAACCACGTCACATGCGTGGTCCCAGGTATGACTTCTATACACCTCTTAATGCCCCTCGTGTTAATATTTTGGAAGAGGCTAACCATGCAGATTTAATATCTTTACCTCCCCCGGCACACAATCCGCCCAATGCCGATAAAAGCAAACACTGCTGCTTTCACCGAAATCATGGGCACACTACGGAAGAATGTTGGACTCTTAAGGACCGAATTGAAGAACTTATTCAAGCAGGACAACTCGAACAGTATGTTCAACGCAGTCAAAATTACCGAGGAGGCTTTCGAGGCCGGGGACGAGGTCGTGGACGATATCAAGGCTACCAAGGTCGAGTTGAGAGCAATCATTACAATCATCCAAATCAACGTGAGGAGGGCAAACCGAGTTCCAACAGTACTGATCCACAGCGTACAGAAAACCCCCCGAGGAACACACTATACGTGGCATGATCAATACTATAGCCGGAGGTTTTGCTGGAGGAGGGAGTTCTAATTCGGCCCGCAAACGCCATCTTCGTACTATTCATAACATAAACAACTGTGGCAACGCTGAGTCGAAACCGGCAACCTCAACTCCTCCTATTGTTTTCACCGACGAGGATTATGAGGGCATAAGTTTAAACCAAGATGACCCAATGGTCATCTTAGTCGAAGTTGAAAATTGGGAAGTTCACAAAACTTTAATCAATTAAGGAAGTTCTGCTGATGTCTTGTACTGGCCAACCTTCCTTAAGCTTGATCTCCCGCACGACTTAATTCAACCATACTCGGAACTCCTCGTTGGTTTCGCAGGTGAGCGAGTTCATACTCGTGGTTTCATTGAACTATTGACCTCTTTTGGTACAACAAAAAATTCCAAATGTGTCTTAGTCAAATATCTGCTAGTGGATGTTGTCACTTCATATAATATACTCATCGGGAGACCCACGTTAAATCAACTTGGAGCAGTTGTATCTACTCCTCACCTATCCATGAAGTTTCCAGGGATGAATGGGCACATAGTGACTATTAAAGCCAATCAACAAATAGCACGAAAGTGTTATGCTGAAAGTCTGAAGATCTACCCTGCCACGACCCAACCTGCAATGTCCAGCTCTACCATGATTGCTCATGTTAAAATGGCAGCAACAACCGAGTTAGATCCTCGAGTTGACATGCATGATCATCGCCCAAATCCTATTGATGAGTTGATCAAATTTCAGATCGGCAGTAAAGCGACTCAATGCACCAGAATTGGCCACTGCATGGATCCAAATATCCAAGGTAAAATCATGGCAATCCTTACTGACAATGCTGACCTTTTTGCTTGGACTAGCGCAAATATGCCGGGGATCAATCCCAACTTCATTTGTCATAAGTTGGCGATTTACAAGGAAGCAAAGCCTGTATCACAGAAGCAAAGGAAACTCGGCAGTGAAAGGCGAGAAGCAGTGCAACTTGAAACTCAAAAGCTTCTAGCCGCCAAATTCATCAGGGAGATTAAATATACCACTTGGTTAGCCAATGTTGTTATGGTTAAAAAATCTAATGGCAAATGGCGTATGTGTGTTGATTATACAAATTTAAATAGAGCTTGCCCCAAAGATTCATACCCACTCCCCAGCATTGACAGATTAGTTGATGGAGCTTCAGGTTATGGTATGCTTAGTTTTCTTGACTCATATTCAGGTTACAACCAAATTTTAATGTATCCCCCGGATGAAGACCATACTGCATTTATCACTGAGCGTGCCAATTACTGTTATTGAGTTATGCCTTTTGGACTCAAGAATGCGGGAGCAACTTACCAACGATTAATGGATAAGGTGTTCGCCAAGCAAATTGGACGTAACCTTGAGGTCTATGTTGATGACATGGTAATTAAAACCAAGTCACCTGCGGATCATGTCCAAGACATAGAGGAGATTTTTCAACAAATCCGGCGCCACAATATGAGATTAAATCCCGAGAAATGTGTTTTTGGTGTCCAAGGTGGAAAATTCTTAGGATTTATGATAACTTGCAGGGGGATCGAGGTGAACCCCGATAAATGCCAAGCTCTGATTAATATGCGCAGTCCACAAAATCACAAGGAGGTGCAAAGGTTGGCAGGCCGACTTGCCTCATTATCTTGGTTCATTCCCAAGATGGCAGAGAAAGCCAAACCTATTTTCTCTCTACTCAAAAAGCCAAAAGATTTCCAGTGGGACGACCAATGTGAACGAGCCTTTGCCGATTTCAAGGAATTCTTGTCTGCTCCCCCCATCTTGTCTAAGCCAAGCAACCAAGCTCAACTTTTATTATACCTGGTTGTAGCTGATAATGCTCTTAGCGCAACTCTTGTACAAGAAGATGGTAAAAAATAGATTCTCATTTATTTCATCAGTCGTGTTTTGCAGGATACCGAGAAAAGATATCAAACAATTGAGAAGCTGGCGTTGGCGCTGGTGACCTCGGCTCGCCGACTTCGTCCTTACTTCCAAAGTCACCAAATTGTGGTCAAGACCGATTATCCTATCAAGCAAATACTCAGAAAGCTTGATCTAGCTGGTCGAATGACAGCTTGGTCAATTGAATTATCCGAGTACGATATCAGATATGAAAGTCGAGGACCCCTCAAGGCCCAATGTCTTGCCGACTTCATTGCAGAGCTCACACCCACCGTCCAAATTGAAAATCCAACCTGGATTTTGCATGTAGATGGATCGCCCACTGTTAAAGGAAGGGGTGCGGGCATAATTCTTGAAGGACCCACAAATATGATGCTGGAATTAGCCATCAAATTTGATTTTCAAGCCACCAACAACCAAGCTGAATACGAAGCACTCCTAACAGGTTTGAGGTTGGCTAAGAATGTCGGTGTTAAAAGATTGATGTGCTGTAGTGATTCAAAGTTGATCACGAAACAAGTGGGAGGAAGCTACCAAACAAAGGAGCCACAACTCCAAAGGTACAATTTAATGGTATCCCACCTAACTTCTTCCTTTGATGATTTTCAGATCAAACATATTCCTAGGGAACAAAATGTACGAGCTAATCTGTTATCCAAACTTGCGTCCACCAAACGCCCTGGGCAACACAAAACAAACATACAAGAAACAATTGGTGCCCCAAGCCAAGATCTAATGGCAATATCCACTGACAGCCAAGGACAACCAACTTGGATGTTTGACATCTGGAAATATCTCACAGACGGAACTTTGCCAGACAACAAAGCTGAAGCATCCAAGATCAAAATTAAGTCTGCTCACTTCATAATTGAGGCTGGTGACTTGTTCAAGAAAGGTTTCTCAACTCCCCTTCTTAAATGCTTAGATCTAGAGCAAGCTCAGTACGTAATGGACGAGATACATCGTGGTATTTACGGAATGTGTAACAACTCGGCTGGCCACTACACTCACAACCACAGCGCACTGGAAACACTAGACAGAATAGAACGAGTATATAAATATAGGATCTAGAATGTAAATATATACAATGTCCCAATCCGACTAGAGTTAGGGTGTACAATACAAAAATACATCCAAAACCACTATATCAAGCGACTGAAACAAACAAAACATCAAAAGGAGTCAGCTTCGCCTGCCAGCTACAGACTCACCACTAGTCACCACCTATCCCTGCTCTGCTCCCATACATAGTATGATCATCGCAGTCCAACCACATGGAAACAACAAAAGGGTAAGCTAGCATAAAAAAGAACAACATATAGGAAGATTTAAGTAATATGAACAAATACAACTATCAACACATCATCAACATACATTTCGTCGGTTTTACAGCATAATCATCAGCTTAACAAAATCAGCTTAAAATACCACAACATTCAGCAATAATAGCACATATCTCACATCATCAGCATACAACTCATCAACCATACAACATAACAACAATAAAACATATAATGCGTCGTCATGCATATCAACCCGGAGATCTCCTACAACAACTCAACCTTTCGGCCTACAACAACTCAGCCTTTCGGCCTACATCACCTCAGCCTTTCGGCCTACAACACCTCAGCCTTTCGGCCTACATCACCTCAGCCTTTCGACCTACAATACCTCAGCCTTTCAGCCTACAACACCTCAGCCTTTCGGCCTACAACACCTCAGCCTTTCGGCCTACATCATCCAATATCAACACACAGTTCAACACAACTGTACAGCTAAACATATCAACTTACAACAATATACAACTAATACAACTCAACATATCAACTTATAACAGTATACCACTGATACAGCTCAACATATCAACTTACAACAATATACAACTGGTACAACTCAACATATCAACTTACAACAATATACAACTGGTACAACTCAACATCAACAAGCAGTGTTAACCACAAGTCATCACATTATAATCAACAACCTCTACTTAATCTCAACATAAACAACCTCTAACATCCATCTTGTTTACAACTCATCTATCTTGCCAAATTACTCACCCAAACAACACCAATCAACCTAAGCACCTAAAATAACTCTCAACTTAACCAAATCACTAAATGTGAAATGGCAACCTTCATAGAAAATGGCGCATCAAGAGTTATACTACTCCTACCATGCTCATCCTTATCTCATATGAAAGATAAGAAGATTTCCTAAAACTCTCAAGAAGACACCAAGTCTTAATTCCTTCATATATCTTGTTAAAAATGATAAAATCCGCAACAGCTATCAACAAAACTAGCAGCTCGACCCCTCTTCACTAAAACAACCATATCTAGAGTTCTAAAACTCCTTTTTGCGTGATTCCAGCGCCATTGGAAGGCTAACATCCAAGGCTACAACTTTAATGAATACTATAAAGTCAAATTCTGAAAATCAAATTCATGACCGGCGCATTAAAATAGCGCCCGGCTCAATTCTCAACCAGAGATCTATAGAGGTCTATTGCGCCCGGCTCACTCATCCTGCGCCCGGCGCCGTATCAGTAACAAAAACAAAATTCAAATCTGATAGTGCACCCGGCTTGGTTCTCCCCACGCCCGGCGTGATTCACCCGGGGATTCCCAATTTCAAATCACGCCCGGCGCGAAGAACTGAGCCCGACGCAAATTCAAACAATAACTCTCACCAGTTTGAAAATTTCAACCAAAACCTGCAAATCAGGCCATCCAAACACATGCTAGCCAAAATACCACATTTTCATCAAAGAGTTCAAAAACATCATCTTTTTCAACATGCAACCATCAAAGAAGAAAAACCCAAATTTCGCCTGAAACCCTGAAAACCTGAAAACTAATTTTTCTTCAATCTCAGCCAAAGATCATCCATCATCAAACAACAATGAGCTTCTAGAACTCATCTTCAGCCAACAATCTACAAAAAAAACTAGCTTCCCTTACCTCCGGTGCGAGAATCCGAGCTCCGGGAAGAAAACAAGCTTGAACGGAGAAGAAAAGGGGAAGAAGGAGAAGCTTGAGGAAGCTCTGCACGGCTCAGCAAGAAACCCAACACCACTACTCAGCTCCTAAGATCCACCACAGCCACCCATGATCAGAGAAAAGGAAAATGGGGAAGAAGAGAGTGAAAATGAGGAGTGAGTGAGAGAAGTGAGTGAAAGAGAGTCAGGGAGAGAAAAATAAGGAAAGGGGTCTCACAGAATGCATTCTGGAGCTCGGTCCATGGCAACTCGTGTCGTCCGTGCTGGCTATTATTGGCCCACAATGAGATCGGATTGTAAAGCATATGTGCAGAAATACAGAGCTTGCCAAGAATTTGGTAACTTACACCAATTACCCGCAACAGCACTGCATTCCATGCAATCAGCCTGGCCATTCGCATGGTGGGGAATGGACATACTTGGTCCTTTCCCAATTGCCAAGAACCAATTGAAATTCCTACTTGTAGGAATTGATTACTTTACAAAGTGGATTGAAGCAGAACCTCTTGCAAAAATCACAACAGCCAATGTCCAGAAATTTACATAGAAGAAAATCATCTGTAGATATGGTCTGCCCCAAGCAATTACCACTGACAATGGCAAGCAGTTTGTGGACAAAAACTTTGAACATTTCTTGAAACAACTTGGGATTAACCACAAAGTAAGCTCAGTTGAACACCTGCAAACAAATGGACAAGCTGAAACAGCTAATAAAGTTATTCTTAGGGAACTTCGAAAAAGGTTGGGCACAACAAAGGGAGAATGGGTGGAAGAGTTGACCAGCATCCTATGGGCATATCATTGCACCCCACAGACCACCACTCAGGAAACCCCATACAAATTGACCTACGGATCTGATGCTATGATCTCGGTCGAGGTTGGTGAACTGAGCCACAGGCGATTAACTTTCAATGAAACTCAGAATGAGGAGCAGCTCAGATTAAATCTTGACTTACTTGATGAAACTCGGGAATGCGCCAAGATACAAGAAGAGGCTTGTAAGCTCCGCGCTGCAAGAAGATATAACTCGAAGTTGAAGCCGAGGTCATTCCGGGAAGGCGACCTTGTATGGAGAGCTACAGGAGAAGCCAGAAAGAATACATCAGTAGGAAAATTTGCAGCGAATTGGGAAGGGCCTTTTCGCATTTCAGAATGCTTGCAAAATGGGGCATATCGGTTAGCCGAGTTGAGTGGTAAAGTCCTTCCTAGAACTTGGAATGCCACTCATCTGAAATTTTATTATAGCTGAAGCATGTGAATCCAGACACTGTACTCTTTTTCCTACTCTGGTCTTTTTTCCCTATTTAAAAACACATAAGGGTTTTGGCCAGAGAGGTTTTAACGAGGCATGCCTGTAGTACGTTAAGGGATGTAATTGAATGATAAATATATCAAGTTTCCCTTTTTTACTATGGTTCTTATATGTATCTATTGTTTTATTGTCTTTTAAATTAGCCACATTCGAATCTTTTAAATTAGCCACGTTCGAATCAAATTCGTGAGACTTTAATCAAATTGGCCAAGTTTGAGCCTTTTGAAAATAAGTTGGCCAAGTCTGAGCCAAATCATGCAAATTATCCAAATTGGCCGGACTCGAGCCAAGTTTATGAAACTTTAATTAAATTGGCCAAGTTTGAGCCTTTCGAAAATAAGTTGGCCAAGTCTGAGCCAAATCATGCAAATTATCCAAATTGGCCGGACTCGAGCCAAGTTTATGAAACTTTAATTAAATTGGCCAAGTTTGAGCCTTTCGAAAATAAGTTGGCCAAGTCTGAGCCAAATCATGCAAATTATCCAAATTGGCCGGACTCGAGCCAAGTTTATGAAACTTTAATTAAATTGGCCAAGTTTGAGCCTTTCGAAAATAAGTTGGCCATGTCTGAGCCCAATCATGCAAATTATCCACATTGGCCGAGTTTGAGCCAAGTTTATGAAACTTTAATCAAATTGGCCAAGTTTGAGCCTTACGAAAATAAGTTGGCCAAGTTTGAGCCAAATCATGTAAATTATCCAAATTGGCCGAATTCGAGCTAATTTTATTAATTTTTTCAAATTGATAACAGTTTGATTATAATACTTGAAACACACACTTAAAATATCAATGTCTCAAAATGCCCAAATATTCATTCATATTACTCAAAGAAAGTTCACACTACAGTGAAGAAAATTTCAAAGATCCCATAAAGATTTTATAACTAGATCGCTACATATGCCTATTCATTATTTTCCTCACTACTCATCTCATCAGGGATATCATCTTCATTCATCAGTTTTCCTTTAAATACATCCTTCTCGATATGAACCTCTTTCAGGTCAACCTCAGGAGCAATGATCTTAACTTGCCTAAGAGCCTTAGCAAAACCCTTTTTGTGCTCCACGATAAGCTCATACTCAGAAGCATCAATTTCTTTCTTCAGTTTCTTATTTTGACTTTCAAGTTCTCCAATTTTCTTCACATTGGCACCAATCACTTCTTGGCAAGCACTATTCTTTTTGTGGAGACCTTCAATTTCATTCTTCAGATTCTGGATATTTCCTTCATACTCTTTTGTTTTCTTATCCAGTCTCATCACATTTTCTGTTTGAGCCTCTTTCTCTTTCTCTAACAAACTAACCTTCTTCAAAAGATCTTCCACCTTGGCAGCATACGATTTGTTAGACTTAATTGACACTTCAAAAGCTTTTGAGCTCTCCTCCAATTTTCTCTTCAAATCGCCAACTTCAGCATTCAAGGACTTTGCTCGAGCATTCTCAGCCTTCAATTCGGTTATTTGTGTGGCATTCTTCTCCCACTTCTTTTTCCAATGGTCTACGACAGCAATAGACCTTTGCAAAAACACTTGCACTGAATCCAATCCCTGAACAGCTCCAACTTTTTCAATCATTGCTTTATCTGCAATATACTTAGGGTCTTCTTTATAAAAAGAATCAGCAGTCAACTTTGCACTCCAAAAAGATGTCACATCAGGCGATATGCTTATATGATCCAGCCTTCCAAGAGGATTGCTAGAATCATATCTCTAATGTAACGATCTCGGACGCTTAATGAGATCGAATTGGGAAGATCCTCCTTGAGCAGTCAGAGATGAAACGTCGAGCTGGGACATAAATGTTTGTAAGTTTGACACTAGTTGTTCCGATGACTCAGGAACCTTGACATTTTTTGCAGACTCAGTAACTTTGACATTTTTTACCTACAAAAATCAATTTAATGGTATCAACATAGACATTACATCCAATCTTCTATATCAACTAATAACAAAATATAATGTTATAGCACTTCTCTATCTACATCAATGGGTTTCTTCCCAACATCCTTTAATGAAGTTGCACCCTTCTCGGCTTCAACCTCGCCACGATGTCTATCAATAGTGAGATCAATCGTCTTATTTTCTTCAACCTTTTGTTTTGCATCCTCTATTTTTTTCTTTTTGATTGGATGTTTGGAGGGTGCCGTATCTGGAATTTCCTCTATATTGAATTTACCTTTCAATTCACACCACCTACTTCTTCCCATGATACCTGTATCAAATCAATAATTATCAATTATGCTTCAAAGAGTTTAAGCAATGGTCAACACATGTTGGCATTGTGATCATAACTTACTTTCTAAATCCTCTTGAGGATTTTTTGACTCAGCAAGCATAATTACCGATTTGCTGTCTAAGGGCCGAGGTAACTTTTGCAACTTTTCTATATCTTCCACCTCGGATGCTGTTAATTCTAAACCTTCTGAGCCATAAAATTTCATGGGTTGGGATTGCCAATAGAAAGGAAATTTAGGCTCCCCATTCGTGTAAAATATGCAATCTAACCTCGGATCCCCACAATTTGATCGAATTTTGAAAAACTCTTTTTTAAAATTTTTATATGATTGAGCAAAAATTTGAAATAATCCTCCTCCTTTTGAACTTCCACTTAAAGAAACCCATCCAAAGGGTGATTCTCCCAACTTCACTTGATAGAAATGCATAAACCTAGCTAAGCTAATCTCTATTCCTAACACTGCACATAAAACTTGAAACGCGCGGAGAAAGCCCCAACTATTTGGATGTAACTGACTCGGGGCTATATTAACCTTTTTTAAGAACTCACATTCAAACGGTGTGAAAGGGATCAATACGCCTAAATCCTTGAATACACATTTATACATATATATGTTAGGCGTCGCCATTGACCCTTCAAAGAACACACGTTCTTCGGCTGAACAGGCCTCTATTCGAACATGCCCTAACAAGGGAGGCAAACAAAACCTTAGATTACACTCTAACGCACTTACCCCTTCCAAATCTTCAAACTTACTACAGTATTGACCAACGTCACCTCTCACCCATTCATACCCAGTTACCAGTATCTTAGGGTGAGAGTCTTTTCGGTTGTTATCTCCCCGTTTTCGTACCGTGGCTTCCTCTGTTTCACTCATCTTAGTTTTCCCTTTGATACTCTGTGTATTACTCTTACCCATTGCAATGCACAACACAAAAAAGGAAGACTCAAACTCAAAGGAACAAAGCTAGGTAAGTACCTGTAATCGCGCAAACTCCCCCAAATTTTGCCTTTCACACTTGGCTTCAACGATGAACACAAACGCGAAGCAACGAGTACTATTTTAATGGAGCCCACTCCATTTAAATAGTCACCATCACGTCCCTTCAGTATCCAAAAGCCTCTTTTATTTATTTTCACACTCTTCGAGGGTGCTGTCTGTTCGTATGTATAAGACCCTTTAATGAAACGACACCCCTTCATTATTAGCATACAACTGTTAAAACCCAAACGTCTACTTAATCTTTATCAGTCCGACTCTTCGTGTACTATTAAGCTCTTGCACTCTTACATCGTTTAGAGCTTGGGGGGCTTATGTACTATCCTAGCTACAGGGCCGAGATGACCATAATATTACTTTTACTGTAAAGGCTAATGAATGTCACCTCGGCATCTCGGCACCTCGGCATAAGGTACTATGTCCATCTCGGCATACGAATATCATTGAACACATTGGCATATAGATAACTTAACCGCAATTAACCGACCACAGGTAACGGTACAACAGTTACAAGAGGTAACCGTAAACGATATGCAATAAGATAG